CATGATGGAATATGTGAGGCACCTGTCAATGAACATATGATGACAAGATAGATTATGAGAGTAGGGTACTATTGGTTGATAATGAAGAGCGATTGCATTGACTATGCTTAAAAATATCACAAGTGCCAGATCTATGCTGATAAGATTCATGCTTTACCATCTGTGTTACATGTTTTAGCATCACCCTAACCATTTTTTATGTGAAGTATGGATGTCATTGGTCCTATTATCTCAAAAGCTTCTAATAGGCATAGATTTATTTTCGTGATGATAGATTACTTCACGAAATGAGTAAAGGCAGCATCATTTGGAAATGTAACACGATCTGTGATCTGTAAGTTCATAAAAAGAGAGATCATTTATAGATATGGACTTTCAAAGAGAATCATTTTAGACAATGCCAAGAACTTGAATAGCAAGATGATACAAGAATGATGTGTTCAGTACAAGATCAAGCATTATAATTCGGTGCCATATCGTCTGAAATGAATGGGACAGTTGAGGTAGCTAATAAAAATATAAAAAAATTCTTGAGAAGATGATTGAGACTTATAAAAATTGATATAAGAAGTTACCATTTGCACTACATATGTATCGAACGTCGGTGCGCACCTCTACTGGGGTAATCTTATTTTTTTTTATTTATAAGATGGAAACTGTACTGCAGTAGAAGTATAGATCTCATTTTTGAGAATTCTAAAGGAAGTTAAACTAGAAGAGGCTGAATGGATTCGAGAGCACTATGAACAGTTGAATCTCATCGAAGAAAAGATATTGACAGCATTGTGCCATAGTTAGCTATATCAAAGAAGAATGATGAGAGCTCATGATAAAAAGGTTCAACCTCATTATTTTCGAAAAGAAAAGTTAGTCTTAAAAAGAATTCTTTCAAGTTAGCACGATAATAAAAGAAAATAGACTCCGAATTAGAAAAGACCATATATCGTGAAACGAGCCTTCTCTGACGGAGTGTTGATATTGGCTGAGATGGATGAAAATGATTTACCTCATCTTATAAATTCTGATACTGTGAAAAAGTACTATACTTGAGAAAAAAAAATTTAAGGTGAAAACCCTAAATGGATGATTTGAGTCAAAATGGGGTTTATCTAAGTTAAAAACCTGAAAAGGTAGCTTAGATAAGGAGAATACAATATCAAATTTAAAAGTTCATTGGCAAAAAGGCTAGCATGTTCTGAGGAGCACTAAGTTGTTGAGTGTATTGGGTGGTTGAATATTTTGAAAAGGACTTCAAGATATGTTATCATGATTTGTTGGATTGTTTATTGTAGGCTTTGACCCCATACCCGTTTTTGTAATTCTTTCTTTGCCAACTGGCTAAAGTTTACTGTCATCTTGCTAATAAAAGACATTTCATTTCATTTTTTGTGTGTTTCTTTTGTTGATTATTTCCTAGCCATTCTTACTATTTTTTTTTTAATACCTTACAATGGAGGAGATGCGTAAATGCATTCTTGCTTTTTGGGATTGAAATAATGATTGATAAATGAATAATAGCATGAAAGATTTTTACATTACATTGGAAAGGTTGAAAGTGATGAAGGCAAATTTAAAATGTTCAGTTCTTAATACGGACATTGAATTTGGAAAGAGATTTCTTAAAAAGGAAAAGATGAGAATTAAATGAGAGAGATGATTGAGAGTTACATTGATTTGGTCTTGGTACCTGAAGAGTGAAGGGTTTGGGGCCCAAGAAAAGAGCTTGAAAAATTTAAGTATCACAATTAACTAAAATTTTATGACATGGACATCTTTATTACATACATTACATCTGCATTGTTAAGAATATGGCATTGTAAGGATCTAGGTTGTTGTTGCATTTACATCATTAGAAAAGCACTTACATCATTAGGAAAGCACTTGCATCATTGATCATGACATTCATTACATGCTAAATTTTGAGTTTGAAAATCATCTGAGAAAGGAATCATGAATCTTTGGATGAAGGCTTTAAAGGTAAAATTGTGAATCGTTAAAAGAGAATCTTTTAGAAATCTTCAAATGAAAATTTTAGAGTTTTCAGATAAAAATTTTTAAGTTTCAAATGAGAATCTTCGAGATGAGCAACCGTGAAATTTATTGGATGTGAGTCTTTAGACTCGAATGAGAAGTTTTGAATTTTTGGATGTGAATCTCCAAAATTCAAATGTTGGATGTGAGCTTTGCAATTTGCATGCGAATCCCTGAACTTTGGATGAAAATCTCACAAATGCAAATTTTGGAAATCCTATAAATTTGAATTCTTGTGAAACTGAAGTTTTGATAATCAAATTTCAGTGAATTCTTGCAAAGCTAAAAGGTTCTTGCGAATCTAAGCCCTTGAATTGCAAACTTAAATTGTGAATCTTTGAGTTTCCATCAAACATGATCTGTGACTCCTCTGGATATGATTGTCGAAGAGCAATTTATTTTTCAAAAGTTGTGTTGCTTCTATTTAGAGGAGCAATTTTTTTTTTTAAAGTTGTTTCGCCTCTATTTAGAAGGACTTTGTTTACTTAAAAAAAGTGCGAATATAGTGGGATGATCACGTGTAGGGTGTCTACATCTTTGCGCAATTCCTGTTGCACAAGAAATGCACAAAGAGGGGTAGCTATAGACACCCAATTTGGTCGAGGCCTTAATCAATTAGGCCTGGTCCAAATGGGATAAATTGACCCATTTTTATTTTTTATTATTATTTTAGGTTATTTATTATGAATTGTATTTTAATTATTATTATTATCATCATCATCATCACCATTATTATTATTATTATTATTATTATTCTAGAAGATAATGAAAAAAAAAATTACCGTGAATTGTGACTGGTTGGATTGAATATGGATTCAATTTCATGCCTTTCGAAAATCTTATCTAAAGAGGGAATCAGGGTCAATCAGAAACTCTTTTGATTGAACCCTATAAATACCTGTAGATCACACACAAAACGGAGAGTAGAAAACAGAAGGCAAAATTCAAAAAAATTTCTAGAGGGTGTCAGAAGCAATTTTAGGATTTTTTAAAATTTTTTGAGTTTTTTTTCTAGAAAATTTTTGAACAAATTTCAGATTTCGATCAATTTTCCAGTGAATTTTTATGCCAAACTTAAATTTTTTGACGATTTTTTCAGTTCCTGACGTGTTTTTTCATATTCTGGTAGAACATTCAATTGAAATTTGGGTTTTTTAGAGAGATGAAGAGAGAAAAAAATGGGGAGAGAAAAAGGGGAAGAAGAATTTTGTCGGAAAAATTGAGATTTAGGCTTATATATCTACTGAAAATGACGTTGTTTTAGAGTTTAAATCAACCCAAGATCCGCGTGTTTCTACTTGAGCCAAACCGACCTGATCGCGACCCGCGTGCCAATCGTCCCCTGGAGCCGAGCTATGCACTCCCGAGCCATGTTTTTGAGCCGTTTTCTCTGTCTCAAGCCAAGTTGAGTCGATTCTAGCAGTAAGTCGAGCCATTCTTTGGTATTTTTTATTTTATTTATTTATTTATGTGTTTGTTTTAGGAATATTTTTGCATGATTTAATTTAATAAAAATAAAATTGAAAATAAAAAGTTTTGAGAATAAATATTGATTATCCAATGATGAAATTTATAAAAATTTCAAATGATAAATTTCTATAAAATTCCTAGGTGAAAAATTATCTAAATTTGTTTCAAATGGTAGAATAATTTAGATAAATTTTGATAAAAATAATTAATATTTATTTTCAAAAACAAAAAAAAATAAAAAATATAGAAATATAATAAATAAAATAAATAAAATTTTGGAATTAAGTATAAATTACCCAATGATGAGATTTTTAGAAATTTCAAATGATAAATTTTCTAAGAAATCTCTAGGTGAGAAATTTTTTCTAAATTTGACCCAAATTATGAAATAATTTAGATGAAATTTCAATATAAGTAATTGTATTCTTTTCCAAATAAAAAATTTGGGTTGAAAATATTTGATAATTATTCAAGGATGAGATTATTAAAAATTTCAAATGGTAAATTTTTAAGAAATCTCTAGGTGAGAAATTTTCTCTAAATTTGTCCCAAATTGTGGAATAATTTAGATGAAATTTCAATAAAAATAATTGTTATATTATTTTCTTTCCAAAAAAAAAGAAAAAAATGAATTTCTAAATAGGCCCAAATAATGAAAAAATTTAGCAATTTCGAAAAAAAATTTTTTAAACAGGTCCAAATGGTGAAAAATTTAGAAATTCAAAAACAAAATATTTTTAATTTAGCCAAAATGGTGAAATAATTAGATATATTTTTGACATAAAAAAATAATAAAAAAGATAATTTTTTCGACGACGGAGCCTCTTCAAGAAATCAAATGAGATTCTTGAATACTCTTAAGGTGAGAAAATATATTTTTAAGAATTTTACCAGATTGATGGAAGAATCTTATGAATTATTTTCAATATGTAACATAAAATTTGAAAACCATTAGACTCAAGACCTTAGGATGAATTTGAAATAATATGGTACCATCCTTTGGATGGGTACGTGAGGGTGCTATAACATTTCCCATATATAACCGAACTATCGAATCTTGTTCTGATTAGTAGACCCGAACCTATTCTTTTAGGGACCCTTAGTTAAGCTTAGGAGCTTCTTAAAAGAATAAATTTTTTAGGTGACCAATCACACCTAAATAAAAAAATTGATAATTTTTTAATTTGTTAAATCTAACTATAAATTTTTGAATTTATATATCATGATATACAGACTTTCTTGATCAGCCGCCATCGTCGTCTATAATGCTAGAAAATTAATGTTTTTAGCACTTTTCTTATTAAAAAAAATAATAGTGTTTCTTAATTCATTCCATTATTCTGGATTTGACTGGCAAAACTTTGATATTAGCCTTTACAATGCTTTAATTTGGACTAATCCCAAAAAGAGAACAGAATTAAAAATTAATTTTTCTTAGAATAAGTTAAGAGAATGTAACCTGTAAATGTTGGAAAAAATACACTACAGATTCTCAATCCATATGTATGATATACAGCCATTTTCAACTCTTCTTAGTTTTCTGGTTGGTCAACATTTAGCGCTTCTAGATTATGACTTCCAAATCCAGCTATCTATATTTACATGCCACTGCTTGTTAGAGGTCGGCATACGAAAGAGAAAACAAAAGAAACTTCAAAATGTTTGTCTCCTCAACAAGAAATCTATTAAGCATTTGTGTCCTGTCTCTGGTTTTATCTTCCTGTCAGGGGAGGGTAGACCCGAATTTCCGGATTAAAGCAGTTAATCTAGGAGGTTGGCTCGTGACTGAAGGTTGGATTAAACCTTCTCTTTTTGATGGCATCGTCAACAAAGATTTCTTGGTTTGGATATTGAACCTTTCTTTAGAAATTAGACCTGTCTCTTTTGTGATCACCACTATATATTCATGAAAGCATATAACTAACTCAAGTTATATTTTTTTCTGCTTCATTGATGTGATCATCAGGATGGAACTGCGCTTCAGTTTAAGTCAGTAACAACTGGAAAATATCTTTGCGCCGAACAAGGTGGAGGAAGTATCATAGTTGCCAACCGGACATCTGCTTCTGGCTGGGAAACCTTTACAGTAATCAAAGCTATACCTTGTCTGATCAAGTTTTGTAGAAGAAGTACTTTTCCTGTTTGTTTCATTAGTTTAGTGTTCGTAACTTCATTTTTTTTTTTTCCCTTGCTGTGAAAGTACAGTTGTGGAGGATCAATGATACGGCCCTAAATTTTAGGGTCTTTGAGAAGCAATTCATTGGACTTGACACAAACGGAAATGGGATTGACATAGTAGCTGTTTCAAAAACTCCTGGAAATTCAGAAACCTTTGAGATTTTGAGGGACTCCAATGATAAGAATCGGGTTCGGATCAAAGCACCAAATGGGTACTACTTACAGGTAATATGGTTTATCCAATGCTTAATCAGTCTTAAAACCAAACCTCCAATGATAAGTTGTATCCTGAAAGAATAATCAATCATGGGCACCTTATAGACTATTTATATATTTGTTAGGTGTTCCCCAACTCCATGAATTATAAATCCAAAAGAAGAAAGCATGCTTTTAAAATATTCAAGCTGTACAAGTAAATAATGGTGCCAATGCCCTTTGAATAATCTAAATTACAGGCAAAAACAGAAGAGCTGGTGACAGCTGATTCGCAAGGGGGTAACGGAAGGGGAGATGATGATCCATCAGTATTTAAGATGGAGATGGTTGGAAGGCTGGAGGGCGAGTTTCAAGTAACCAATGGCTATGGTCCCGATAGAGCCCCACAAGTCATGAGAGTAAGTACAGCGTACAGATTTAATTAATATACTAATTAAGTGCTAATAATGATAATGGCATGATAATTATTTAGTTAGAGATCTGTTTCATTCGATTGATGCTTCTATAATAAATTCTGTTAGAATAGAACCGTTCTAAAATCAAGAGAAGTTAAATAAGAATTGGTAAATTTTACACAGAAAATGTTGTAAAATATTAAAAAATATTTAATAATATTTTTAATATATGAAAAAAATAAAATATTTGATTTTATTAAAATAAATTACAAAATATTACATGAAAGAAATAAACAAAAGAACAAAATTTTTAAATTAAAAAAAACAAATAAAATCAATAGGAAAATTAGATCAAATAAAAATTAATTATCGAAAAGTTAGATGAAAATGTAAAAAAATTCATTAAATATTTATTATGAAACATTAAAACCTTTTTTAAGAAACTTTGATTTATAATTGTCTAAACATTCAAATATACTTCTTGCATCAGCTGAAAATCTTAAATTTTGAGAACCAAAATTTGCTTTTATAACAAATTAAAATCAGCTTCCAGATATTATCTTTTTTCAACTAATTATTAGCTGTCATGAGAAACGAAAAGAGTACGCTAAGGAGTGTTTCTCCTCTTTATATATTACTATATAAACAACTTTAACATTTTCGTCTAAAATGAAATCATTACATTAATTATCAATTACTTTATTTAAAGCAAAATATTACTATAAATATAATATTTTAACCAAAATCTTTAACATTATGTTTGGTTTAAGAGGAGTGAAAGGAAATGAAAGGAAAATAAAAGAAAACAATGAAAACAGAAAAATTATTTTTTTGTTTGCATAAATTTTTAATTTAAAAAAAAAAGATGCGAAAATTCAATAATTTTTAGTTTTTTTTTTTTTTGTATTTTTCACTTTTTTAATACTTCAATTTGAGGAAAAAGTCAGAAAAATTTTTTTAAAAATTTATTTTTAGGAAAAGACTATTATATCTATTTTTTTTATTATGATAATAGATTTGATTATATAACTTAAACTTTTACAAAAATAATTTTCTTTTATAAGTATTTTATATAGTATTACAGTTTATAAATATTTTATGATTTTTCAAATCTTAACAATAAAATAAATCAAATTATTGTTAGAATAAATTAAAAGATTGAATTAAATATAAAATTAAAAGTAAATTAATAACTGGCTAATATATCTTCGTATTAAATATGCTTAATTTTTTAAAAAAAGATTTGTTTATACAAATTAAGTAGTGTAAAGATATAGTTATATATTATATGTTACTTTATAAAAAAAAGTTATAATTAAAAAAATATTATAATTAATTAATTTTTTTTACTATTTATAAAAACAATGGTTATTAGATTTTTTTTTCATTAATTTTAACTATCCAAATAAAAGGTGCATATACCAATTTTTTTTATTAATATATATTCAAACATAGTATAAGTTAATCACTATAAAACCCTAAAAGAAAGAAGAAATTTTCTAAAGTACTTCCTTGCACCAAAAAAAAAAAAAAATCAAAGTCCTTCCATCTCCAAATAATTACTATATAAATGATAGGTTGAAAAGAAGTCAAACTTCTTGCTAACTGGCTTAACGTATACACGCTTTAGGTGAATTTCAGATTAATTTTGCATTTTTATACAAGAAATTTGGAGTCAAATCAATTAACAATTTGAGGAGTTAATGTTCATCCAGTCAGTCAGCCAACATCATCATACAAATTGCAATCTGAACTATTTGCAGATTTTGTTGACTAATGTTGTGTGATGCATATATATGATAATGATAAAATTAATTTAAAATAGATAAGACTATATGACCTTTGAATTAAAATCAAGGAGGTTGGCTGTTGACCTGATTCCTCATTCTCAGGAGCATTGGGGAACGTTCATTGTGGAAGAAGACTTCAAATTCATATCGCAAAATGGGCTTAATGCTGTGAGAATACCAGTTGGTTGGTGGATAGCCAGCGATCCAACCCCTCCTCCGCCTTTTGTCGGGGGCTCCTTGTTTGCATTAGACAATGCCTTCGTATGGGCACAGTTAAGTTCTTTCTTTTTTTTCACCCGACTGATCAAACCGAAACTTATTTTCCATTTAAAAAGTTATAATTGATCTTACAGTTTGTTCTGTTTTCCAGGAAATATGGGTTAAAAGTTATAATTGATCTACATGCCGCACCAGGTTCGCAAAATGGTTGGGAGCACAGCGGTTCCAGAGATGGCTCCCAGGAATGGGGTAAAACAGATGAAAACATAAATCAGACCGTAGCTGTTATAGAATTTTTAACAGCCAGGTAAAAACAATTTAAAGCAATCCACTCTTTATTTATAAGTAGTTCTAAATTTTGTTTCTGGCTGCACCTGGTTCCCCTCTTGGTCCTGGAATAGATATGCAAAGAACCAAAGCCTCTATGCAGTTGAGCTGATTAACGAGCCTCTTTCACCTGGAGCGACACTGGAGAGCGTGATCAAATACTACAAAGCGGCTTATGCTGCTGTCCGTAGGCACTCTTCTACAGCTTTTGTGGTGATGTCAAATAGGCTAGGACCAATGGAACCAAGGGAGCTATTCCCAATGGCCAGTGGCTTAAGGGGTTCTGTTATTGATATACATTATTACAACCTTTTCCAAGACATGTTTGACAACATGACTGTCCAACAGAACATTGATTTTATATATCAGAATAGATCCTTACAGCTGAATCATGTTACTACATCTAATGGTCCTCTCACTTTTGTTGGTAAGAATCGATCAATTGACCTCCTGCAATGTTATGATATTCATTAGTTTGATGAAAACAATGGCGAGTTAAATTCAATGACCATTGATTTGCAGGTGAATGGGTGGCTGAGTGGCTAGTTAGTGGAGCTAGTAAAGAGGATTACCAACGGTTCGCCAAGGCCCAATTAGAGGTCTGGGGGAGAGCGACTTTCGGTTGGGCTTATTGGACTCTGAGGAATGTTAACAGACATTGGAGCCTGGACTGGATGATCAAGAATGGCTATATCAAACTTTAGCCCGTAGGTTGTAACATGACTCTCTAGCAGGGAAATAAGGGATGCAACATCAACATGTTAGTATGTTACCCAACCCTAAACACCCAACAATAAAAAGGTTGTAGCATGGTTATAGCCTATTTAGAACATCCCTATGTCATTTTCAAGTGTAAAAAAATACACTCTAAATAAAAATTAGAAAGGTTTTTGGACCACTCAATGACGAATTTTAACATTTGATTATAAAAGGGTTAATTAATATTATATTTTAACTTATTTTTTAAAGATATTTTCTACTATACTTATTAATATAAATATAAATGTATAAAAATATATTAATAAAAAATTGAGTTTATAAAATTATAAAAGAAAAATATTATTATACCAAAAGTTTAAGAATAAAATAATTTTTATATTAATGATAGAATTACTAATTAACCAATCTTTTAATAAATATGAAACATTTCCTGATTCTTTTGACATTTTATATCTAAAATTAAAAAATGCACAAATCAATATTTTTTATAGGATTAAATAGGTCGTAAAAAAATTTTTACAAAAAAAAAAAATGTTTTTAAAAAATGAAGTTGAAAATTTTGTAATTGAAGATTAATTGTGCTTTTATAACTTTTAAAAATAGTTCTAATACAATTTTTGTGTTGAAAATATTATGTGACAACACTGAGATAAAGATTTAGAGTAATTAAAAGTAAAATATGATATGAAAGGAAAAAATTATAATTAATTAAAAATAAAAAAAAACATTAATAATAATGTAATCTGTTGATAGAGTATTAAACTTTTAGTTGATAGAGTATTGAATTTTTAGTTTAAATGAATAAGATTCAATTTTTGATAACAAAAACAAATTAAATACTTGGTTGGACTTTGTATTGTTGAGAAAATTAGAAAATTAAAATCACCTGATTGTGATTTAAAGTTTATAATAAAACTCTTAATTTGGAACATTTCTAAATAATAATTAATAGGTACAACAAAAAGACAAATAGTAATGTAGTTTTAATTTTCTTAAAATGCAAAACATAAATTTAAATTATGAAATTATAAAAAAATAATATTAACAGTGTTAGTTTAAAGGACTATTTAAATTTGTTGAACATAAATGAATTTACATATTAAAGGGTTTTAAAACATTTAGGGGGAAGGCCCCTTTAACCATATATGAAGGTTCACCCCTAGGATTATTTGATCGTACATTCAGTTAAATATGGTAATTCATGTATTTATATCATATTTTATATGAAAATTGTACATCATAATTTGTGTTGAAATGAAAAACAGAATATATATATATTATTTTTGTTAAACCAATAAATAATTATTACTAAAGTTTTAACTTGCATGAATTTTTTATTATTTTTGTCTTATACCACTATAGCATGTTCTGAATTATCAAATTTATTTTCTATTGACTCTTATACAAACATTAAATTAAATGGTCATAAGAGGGTAATGGCATTCCATAAAAGTATACCAACATTAAATCAAAATTCTTCTATGTGTTTTCTTTTTCATTTGATAAAAATTATATTATTATTATTATTATTTTATTATTGTTATTATTATTATTAAAAATCCAAAATCCATCAATTGATGGGAATCACCGTCTTTGTTTTCATAAATTATAAATATATCAATGTGAGCATTTTATCTAGATATGGTATCACATTTACTTCATAATTCAAAGTTCATTCAATAATTAAGTGTCATAATGTATTCGTCCAAAGACTCTATAGTTAGACGTAATAATCAAGAATCACCACTAATTTTTTTTATTAAGGTACAATTAGCCATCAAGTTAAAATTATCCCTTTTAAAGAAATTCTAAATTCAATTAAGACTTCGTAACAAGAGTAAGTTTTTGTATATATTGTAAAGCTAAGTTTGGAAGTACGATTATATGTAGGAAATGATTAACAACCCCATAGCACTTGTCCCAAGCTGGTACCAAATAACTTTGTGTTATCCTAAATTAGTTTTTAATTAAATGATCTTTTTTTAATTATTTAATTATTAAAAATTTTCATGAGATTTCTCCATTTGGATAAAATCTTTAAAAAAATTTTTTCATCTCAAGAGTATTCAAGGAATCTCTTCGTTTTCTTAAATAGGTTCTATCATCAAATTGATAAAAAATTTTATAATTTTATTTAAAAACTTTTTATAATTTTATTAATTTTTTTATTCTAAGTTTTTCATCATTTTGACAAAATTTAGAAATATCTTATTCTTTAAAAATTTCCACTAAGAATCACTCATTAAAAAATGGTTTAAATCATAAATTATCCATTATTTTGGAATAATTTAGATTGAAACTTTTTTTTTGAGAAAATTACTCGTTTGTAATTTTCGTTAAAATCCTATTATTGATTAACAATTTTTCTTATTTATTTTAATTTATTGAAATTTTATAACATTTATTATTATTATTATTATTATTACTTGAAAAAAAACGGAAATTGTCAGTGTAAAAATCTTTTTTCAAATTTTTTAACATTTTGATAAATTTTGAATAAATTTTCACACATAGGAACCTTTTACAAAAAATTACTCTTTCATGATTTCTTATAAGTTCATAATTTAGACGATTTTTATTATTCCCAAACTTAATTTTTTTGTTTTATTTTTGTTTCATTATTCCCAAACTCTTTTGTTTTTCTAAATTTTTCATGATTCTGGTAAACTTCAAAAATAGTCTTCTTTAGAAAATTACACATTCATAATTTTCTAGATTTTTATTGTTGGTTTTATCTTTTATTTATTTAATCTTTATTATTTGTTTCATTTTTTTATTATTGTTTCAAAATAAATATTTTTAGAATTTTCTTTTAAATTCACCATCATTCTGGTAAAATTAAAAAGGTTTTTTTTTATCAGTTGCACATTTGCAACTGTTTGAAAATTTATTGTTCGAAATATATTTATTCCTATTTTATTTATTTCTTTTATTATTTTCAATTTTTTCTTGAAATTTGTTAAATTATTATGTAAATAAATTTTAATTTAAATATTTTTTATTTTATACATATCTTGCACATTAACAAATTCAAATAATAAACATGCATATATTCAATAAATATATAAAACAGAAATAGAAAAACAATAGAAAAAATAACATAAAATACCAAAAATGGCCGATCAATGGTTTAAGCAGTTTTTATGCAATTTGGAACGGTTTGTCCAGATCTAAAGTGATTGAAAGGCGGTTCGGTTGGACCGATCAAGGGTTGATCAATTGTAGTGGTGACAGTCAAGTGTGCGGACCGTGAGTTGAATTGTAAGTACACACATTATCTTTTTATCTTAAACGACGTTGTTTTAGGTTTTTTTTTTTTTAGTTATAAAAGAACCCATTTTTTTAATCTCATTTCCACCATTTCTTTAAAAAGAAAAAATTCAGACCCAAAAAAAAAAAAAAATCTCCCAAGCCTTTGCCAAAAACAACTGGTCTCTGAAGCTATTCGAGCAGTTCGTAACCATTACCATTTGTTAGCCACCATCATCGATCGCTGAAAAATACAAAAGTAAAATAAAAAAAAATCGTTTTGCCTCCTGAGCATCAATTTAACTTCTTTTTTTTTCCAAAACTCCTAAAAATCTCCTAGATTAACCTTTAAACTTTTGGTCAAATTTTTTTTTATTTTTTTTATTGGATCTTGGTGCTGAGTTCCCCATTCCAAGAGGTGTGATTTTTTTTTTGTTGTTGGTGTGTTTGGTTTAGATTTTTTTTTTTTGTTTTGATAGAAATGTTTTTTTCTTTTTTTTGGTTTGGTTTTGATTTGGTAGAGCTTCCAATCTTTTTTTTTTTTTTCTTTTGCAAGGTTCTTTTCTGTTCTCTTTGTTTGTCTTAGTTGTTTGCAACTATAAGGCTCAATTTATAGTCACGAGAGATTCAAATCTCAAAAAATCTGAGATTTGAGAAAGAAATTTGAGCCATGTTGGTAACTTTTAGGTACCATGATTTTTGTTGCACGATTAGGTGAGTGTCACGGCCTGTGGACTTGTAGGTAATGCAATAAATACACCAAAGATCAAAGATTTTTGGGGAAAGAAAAAACCAAACAAGAAAAAAAAATGAATAATAATAATAAATAAATAAATAAATGAAAAAAATTACATTTAAGTTAAAATGAGATTGAACAAAATGAGTGTCTATATTAAGTTGAATTTTTTTATACCACTAATATAACAGAGGATATACATTCACTCTCAAGTTCCCCTTTTTTTTTTTTTAATTTTAACTTTTTTCAACTAATTTTCATCACAATATTTCATGAATTTCATCTAAATTAAAAACTTGGACCAGCCGATATATATTTTTCATCTATATAATTCTAAATTTTTTTCTTCTTTTTTTCAACTGAAAATTATGTCCTCTTTCTATTGTAGTTAATATATAATTGTATAACAGAGTACAATATGTCCCCATAATTTATTAATTTGTACCTTAGAGGTAGCACAATTCATGTTTTATGTCTTTTTTGTGTGTATGCGTGTTTTTGTTTGTTGGTCAGCATATATGTTTTTGGGTCCTCTAGTCCATTTGTTGTGAGCTGTAATCCAAAGACAATTAGGATTCGGTGATACACAAAGGGACCCAACTTGAGGATTAGAACAAAGAATTATAAGAAACTTTGAACCTTTCAAAATCGATCCAAATGTTGTAGCATTTGACATGGGGAACATGAAATTCCAACCAAGTCACAAAATTGAATTTGAATGTAACAGCTTGAACAACCTGGAAACAATCAGTGAACAACAGGGATGAATATTGGGGAAAAAAAACAACAGGGATGAATCGGCAAAAAAGCTTCGGGAAGAGTCTTTTTAATTGCTGCTTCTCGCTACCAATGATGTGTTTGCACTTTGCTGAGTGCAAAACAGCGTTTTTTTTTTCAAGAACCAAGTTTGAGTGGAATCCATGGAAGAAAGAAGTGACAACCTTTCATGCAGACATCAATGCATCATAGGTATTTGTCTATGTCCATTTAATTGGCAGACACCAATTATTACAATTTACATCATAACTTTATCTGTCATCCAACTATTTTTTCTACAAAACTTTGGGACAGATAGGTATAGGTTGCTCCAACCTCTAGACCAGAGCAAGAATATTGCTGTCAAAAAGTATCATTAACTACATTCGATGTTAACGCAAAGGAGAAATTACCACCAACACTCTTTAAGCAATCGAGTAAACCATTTATTAATTATTTCTT